AACAAGTTAAGGGTTTTCTCCTTCATCAACCTTGTGTTATTTACTGTTTTAATTATTTATTGCGATAATTCAACATAGGATAATTTGACCTGATTAACTAAACATTTAGAATAATTAAAAAATGGCTTGTTGCTTTTAATTGATAAGTTTAGTTCCGTATTATTCACCTATAGTGATTTTAAGGTTGAACCAGTAACTTTCAAGTGGTATTAGAGCCGAAATTTGATTCCTAACCCTAGTTTTCTAGATGAGTAGTTCATTGTTTGTTCTACCATATTTTGATGACAATAATTATGTCTATTGAAAAGTTAGAGTGAGAGCCTTTATGAAATTGATGGATGAGCGTATTTGGTTGATCGTAGTGAATGGATGGACTGCCCCATCTACCATAATTGCATGTGTAGTTACCCCTACTAATATTTCAACTTGGTCTAAGAAAGATTAAGATGAGTGTAATTGGAATAGAAAAGGGCATCGTGTTCTATTTATGGTCATATCACCTAAAAAATTTAGGTGTGTGTCTATGTGTGAGGTTACTAAAGAGGTTTGAGATATTTTACAGACCACACATGAGGGAACTCAGACTGTTAAGAATTCTTAGTTACAGATTTTGGTTTGAAGAAACTAGGATGAAGGATAATGCGACATTCGGTGACTTCTATGAAATTTTGAAAGACATAGTTAATTCTAGTTTTAACCTTGCTCAGCAAATTCCCGAGTCTAAGATTGTCGAAAAAATCCTGAGATCATTACCTGAAAGATTTAGGTCTAAAGTTATGGCTATCAAGGAGAGCAAGGATCTAGATGCTATTAAAATTGAAGAATTGGTTGGATCTCTCCAAATTTATGAACTCACCATATCTCAACCTAAGAAGAACAAATCTATAGTCTTGAATACTATTACAAAAGAAGAGTATGATTCATCTGATTCAGAATCACTTAATGATGAAGAAATAGCCTACTTTATTAAGATTTTTCAAAAAAATATTTAGAAATAAGAAGAAGACTAAAGAGAGACATATATGTGATTCCAGTTAGTATAGAAAGAGATCTAAATCTATTAGATGTCACAAGTGTTAAGGTTTTGGCCACCATAGAAGTAGGTGCCCTAATGGTAGAGAGAAATCAAGGTAAAGCTATGAATACAACTTTCATTGATGATGAGTCTAGCTCGGATAGTCAAAGTAGATGTCTACATATGAGGAGAGTGGGAAGTTTTTGGCCTCCACTGTTAGGATTAAATGTGAATCTGATAAGGACAGTGAGAAGATTGATCAAGTAGATATTAGTGAGCAATCTGAGGAAGATTCTGAAGATGGTGATGAGATTCGTGAGGCTTATCAAAAATTATTTGAAAATAGTCTTAAAATTAAGAAGGTGAATAAAGCTATGCTTAAGAAGATCAATGAACTTGAACTAATTAGATATAAACTTGTAACTAACCTTCAGGAGTCTACCGTATGCCTAAAAAAATTAGATAATGTAAATCGATCCTTAGAGTCTAAGATTAAAGATCTTACAAATAAACTTGAGAAGTCCTCTAGGAGAGTTAGTGAGCTGACTGTTGAGAATGAGAAATTAGAAATCCATGTTACGAACCTTCTGAGCAAACCCGCTGGGAATAAGGGAGGCCTATGATATAATTAGATTGATCATAATAGGGCTGGTACTTCCAAAATCATTTTTATCCCTGCCATCAACCAGACTGATGTATGTTCTTAATCCTGAACTCAAGAATAAGGGTATCATAGGACAGAATCCTACTAGACAGCATATGACCTACCAACCTATGAATAGATATCAGCGACTACATAACTTTGGACTAAGTTTTATCCCTACCTATTTCAATTGTGGTGAGTTAGGACATATAAGGCATTGGTGTCATAAATTTCTGAATAGAAATAGAAATCAAAATTTCACTAGAGTTAGAAATCTGGATTTTGACGGTCCAATTGACTTCCTTATTAATCAAGTGAGTCATTTAACCAAGTTAATGATAGAGTTGACTCGGGATAAGTATTCCACTAGTCAGGTTTTGATGAAAAATAGTGATCTGAAAAATTTAGAAATTGATTATGGTGATATTAAAGGTAAGAGCGTTTGT